CCAGAAATGCTTGACTCAGCAATATCGCGCTGGGGGGGAGCCGGGGGGGGGGGGGCTGGAAGCGGGGAGAATGCCGGAAGCCTGCTCTGCTTACCTGATCCCATCCCTGGATAGCGGCCGCAATGGAGTTGAGGATGATGGTGTAGTAAAGCGCCCAGGGGTGCTTCCACCGGTGCGTCACCTCCTGCCGCAGCGCGTCCCTCTCGCCCTCGTCGAGCTCCTCAATGGACTCGAAGAGGGCCGGGTTCTGGGCGACGAGCGCGCCCTTTTTCAACAGCGGCAGGATGTCGTCGGGCAGGCCGTGGGCTTGCTGGTAGACGGTGACGCGCTCGAGGAGCTCGGCTTTGGGGATGCCCTTGAGCGGGTTCTTGATCTCGCCCTCGAGGTTCCGGGTGAGTTCCGCGATGCTCTTTTTGCTCTCGTCGTGGTGCTCGGCGCCGTCCTTGTGGAACCTTTTGCTTGTTGTGTAAGTTTTTGGGCCTAGGGATCTCACTCTTGCGGCATGTGTGGGTTGGTTAGAGTGGGCGTCGACGTACGGTGATTCCGTCTCAATCCTCTTCTCTGGCTCCGCCATGATGGCTTGCTGGCTTACGAGAGAAATTTGTTGTACAAGGCTGGGGCGAAGCTATGCGCTTGAGAAAGTGGCTGCTGTGAGTGACGCGATTGCACCACGCCGGTTGCAAACCAGGCCCGTCTAAAGTGAGAGGGGGGTTCAGATTAAATATCCAGAATTACCCGTTCAACGTCTGAGGGGTGCCGTCCCTGTCATCTGAAGCACGCAAGGGATCCTGTCTCATCAATGAGATGTACTTCAAAGTAGCGGGCGTCGGGTGAGCACGCAGCCGGGGCTGTTTGTGTTGGTTGGGTTAGCGAGGCAAGGAGGGCGCATTTTGACATGGAGGGTTATGAGTTGTTACATCACGGCAGCTTTTCAGATTGCATCCGGGGTAACGAGGCAGACCAGTCAAGCGGGAGACCATTGAAACAAAGCCAGGCTTGCCAGGCCATGAGGTAGTCCGCCGACGCCTCCAATCTGAGAAAAGTGAGATGCGAGCGCCCCGAATCGGCCTGGCGCTGCTAGAGCTCTATCGACTCCCTCGACTCCATGCGGGGTTGTAACAGGCTACCTCATGCAGCTTATGCTCTAAGGACCTGCAATGGCCTGTCTGTCTGGCCATTGAGGGGGTGGTTCACCTTGGTCTCATTGGTCGCGTGGCACCTGGGAGAGGATTCTCTTGCTCCGCGGCGGGAAAAGCTCGAAGAAGCTTGGTCTGCGACAAAGCACCACAAGGCCAATTGAGGAACGCTTAGGAAGCGGGAGCCAGTAATGTGACGATCCGTCGCGTCTACGAGGGAGGTGGGATTGGGATGACGATTGTTACCACGTTGGGACTTGAGTAGACGTATGTGGCGCACCCTCCGCAAAAACGCCTTGTAAGACCGGGGTCGAATCTGGGGACGCCCCGGGATCTGACCACACGCACCAAAAGTCCATTGGGAGCATTACTGTCAGACAGCCTCGACTGGTGAGACAAGCCAGACAAGCACTGCCAAGCTTACCAAAGCTGAATTCGATAGAGGTAAATGATTGACGCTGATCTCCGCGTCGAATAGCAGAAGGCTCGGTGCTTTAAGATACTTAATGGTGAAGCTTATACGGCAGAATCTGGCAGCCTGTGTCACCCCACATTCTGATTACCCTCGCACCCTCGGCACAGAGTGATGAGAAGTCCTAAGCAGACGGCTGGACACGAGGTTTGGGGAATGAAGCAGCCAACTTGCGTTGCAACAACGATACTTGGAAACACTACATGTAGTAAAGGAAAGTAGTGAACTGTGAGAAATGGTAGACCCTGGCTAATCCAAAGCTTATCGACGTAGTCATGCCAGGCACCAATCCCCAGACAGCCGCTCAATTCCAGGCACAGCTGATTGAAATACATACTTTGCTGATTCGAGGGCCTTCGTCTCAATCAAAAGATCGGATGAAACATCCCGTAGCAACACTTTAATCCAACATAGTAGAACATTTCGGTCTCGGAAAAGATTAGACAAGCTTCAGTGTCGTCTTTGCAACCTTTCAAAGTTCGCACCTGAGAAGCTAAGTAAACCTAGACCTGATTTTCGTATCAATACGACAACAGTGCTTTATACGCCTTCATCGCTTTGAGGAGTGATGCAAAGGATTTCAAGACCCTTGTGCCCATCCGGAGCTGCTGGGTAGCGAAACGAGCGATACTGAGAAGCCTGCTCCACACAAGCTAGCTATTGTCTGGATAGCCTTCTCTCTGGCAGACGTATGCACGCACTTTGAAAAGTAGATCCACCTTAAAGAAAACGGCGCCGCCAAAGACACGACCGAATGGGTAGTCTACAAAGTTTTCAGGCCCATGGGCGGGTTACGGGCCGGCGTTGTGGAGTCGTGGTCCGATGTAAGCGCGCTGGGAATTGGCACTATCGAACGCATCTTGTGAGATTCTAGAGCCGAAGTACTGTCAAGCTAATAAGAATGGGTACTTTGGGAATCTGCCAAGTGCTAAGCGACTTTGATTTATCGTATCTTGACTTTCAAACATTTCTCCTGCTCGATTCGACGTCAATGAAGTGAATGATGGCCAAAGACCACGGGGACAACGGTCTTGACCCCTGGGCGAAGCTGCACGATCGAAAAAGAAATGCCATTACGTGACATCGTTCCACTGTTCTCCCAGATCGCTCAACGCCGGAACCAATTGCCGCGGAAGTCCGTAATGCGTAGTAAGAGGCTAAGAGCAGTGCCAACGTGGAGAATAAACGGTTGGACGGATGTCGAGACGGACATGAAAAGAGGAGGGGCGTGCAGCGCTTAGCTCCACCCCGAACCTTCCGGGCAGGTCCCGGATCCCGAGGTTCCCGTGCTGCTGCTTTCGATGGCGTGCAGGCGTGCATTGCTGAATAAGCATAAGACCCGGACACTTTTTTGAGTTTCGCGCCTAACAACAACTGGACATCTCCTCCAAAATAACCTACCACTTATCTCAAAAAAAAAGTTGTCGTCGTGCATGAGATGGCCGGTTCAGCGCCTGCTTTCACGCAGGCATTCTCAACGCAGCGTATCTGTCTCCTCATCGGCCTCTTGGTATGCTCCACCATCGCGGGGCCGGCGATCGGATCGGATTTCCGGTGTCCCGATTATGTCATCCAACACGGTAAGTCCGTCACGTAATCCGATGCCGCCGGCACACCACTGCTGCGATTAGCGTTCGACGTTTGCCAGAAATCTGATGTGGCCTGTAGCACCTCTCATCTGGCTGCACTCTGAGGACCCGTATATGCCCAGCGACCTCTTGACGCACATTCAGCACACCTCGCCGGCCCTGGATGGCAAATCCATTCCCGACATTTCAACGCTCGACCTGGACAACTTGGAAACGCTCAATCAATTTGGAGACGAAGTAGCTCTCACGTCAAACGATGATCCTCTGGGCTATCCAGAATGGATCCACGGTGTGACTCCCGATGCTGATGGCAGAATCAGCAATGCGACGCCGTGCGTCGTTGTTCTCGTCGAAAAGGGACAGCAGGACCTGGACGCGTTCTACTTTTACTTTTACTCCTTCAATGAGGGCATGAACATCAGCCAAGTCTTGGAGCCTTTTAACCGCATGGTCAAGGGTGAGAAGGCGCAGTCGGGGATGCACTTTGGTGATCACGTGGGAGACTGGGAGCACAACATGATTCGGTTCCGGGATGGGAAGCCGACTGGGATTTACTACAGCCAGCATGTTGATGGAGCGTCTCTCAGCTGGGATGATTCAACACTTACGAAGATGGATGGTAGAGTTCGTCACTCTGGTCTCCCAGCCATCGGCAACAGGAATTTTGCTGACTTCGTCTAGCCTATTGTCTACAGCGCACGGGGCTCTCATGCCAACTATCCGACTGCGGGGTGAGTATCATGAGTTTCATAAGTGGCATACTGCGGTCAAAACTGACAAAAGTTATCAGTGAACAGATACACAATTCGGTCTTGGTCGATTACTGCAACGAAGGAAGAAGGTGGGACCCTATTCTATCAGCGTACTTCTACCGCTTCGACAAAGAGTCCTCCACCGTCAACAGATTGGATCCTCCAGCCGAATCATCCCCAACTCCACCGCCTTCCTCCAACTTGACGTCCTTCTTTTACTACTCTGGCCGATGGGGAGACACAGAATACCCAATGTCCGATCCACGCCAGGAAATCGTCCCCAAGTTTGGACTGAAGAGAATCGTGTCCGGACCGACTGGCCCCCGACACAAGCACCTTGTCCGAAAGGGCCTCAAGCCAGACCAGAGGCGCAAGATGGGATGGATGGAGTGGGGCGTCGGCATTTACATGTCCTTGTACCCGTGTTGTCTGAGAGGATGGAGGAGGTGGGTTTTCATGGGACTAATCATTGCAGTCCTATCGGGTGCTGTCATTGGGATTGTCATAGCGGTCAAGAAGTATAGAAACAGGAAGTATACGAGGTTACAGGCGGAGGATATACCACTAGATGACTGGGCGCTGGAAGATGAGGCACTATTGTCTTCATCTGACGAAGAGGATGGGGGTAAATCGTCCAAATTTGCCAAAAGACATGGAGATTAAACAGAGCCGCCCCAGGTTGACCAGGGACGCTTTAAACAAAACAACAAGAAGTTCTCTGAGTTCTTGGTCATATTCTACACGAAACTGCCTTTTTGGTGTTTTTCTATTGTCTTCTCACCACGACAACCCGACTGAACTCACAACTCTCCCTCCTATTTATTTTTATTGGCCCCCGCTGTTAGCGCGGGCCATACTCAGCATATACTTTCTACTATTAGCACCCAAAACCTAACAAATGCCGGCGACGGCCGCGGCGGCCGCCGCCGCCGCTAACCCAGCGACCCCTCATATATTACGCGGCTCTTTTATTTTTATCCTTTTATTTAACACTATTTATAATAACTTTTCGATAATATAAACTAATAAAAGACTACTACTTTTTTTATTATTATAAAAATAATAATATATCGAATCGTCGCCTTTTAATTTTAAATAAAAGAGAATATTTATTAAATAATAACCGCTTTTTCTTTTTCCGTTTATTTAAAACCGACTTATTAATAATAATAAAATCTTTATATTAAACGAGATTACCTTTTAATAGGAGTATTTCTTATACGTTAATAAGACTTTAATATTAACTATTTAGGCTATTTTATATAAACTCGACGTAAATAAAAAATATAAATTAATAATTAAATATTATATAAACCTTTTATATACGTTATTATTAAATCGATACGATATCGGCTAGTTAATAAAGCCTTACGAATAATAACTTAAATTATATATTTATACCGTCTTAAAATAACGACTTAATAAAAAATAACTTAAATTAATAAAAGTTATTTTTATTAAAGTTAGCTATAGTTAAAGCGGAGTACGAAAAAAAATTAAAAACCTTTAAGTTTTTATTAAAATTTTAAAAGGTATTAAATTTAAAAATATAAATATTATAATTATCTATTAATAAATTATTAATACGTATATACTTAAGGGCTAAGATTTTATATAGGCGGTTAAAGTTCTATCCGGCTTTACAATTATTATGAAATCTTATAAAGCTCGATCGGCTATACTTATTTGCTACGCTAAACTATCTAAACAATTTAATATAATAAATATTAAAAAATCTTCGGTTTAAATTACGTATATAATTTAATTCGTCCTTAACATCGTAAAAAACCTTATTAAAAAAGACTATATTATTATAAAAGTAAATATTACGACCGAAATTAAATCCGTTATAAATTATATTTTAATAAAAGTAAGGCCTATAGCAACGGTTATTAATAAATATAAACGAATTTAAATTATTTCTTTTATTAATAAAGTCGGCCTTTTCTAGCTGTTCGATAGTACGCTCTTTAGAATTATAAAAAACCGATATAATTTAAAATAGTATAATAACTATTTTGATTAATATAAGGCCCGCTTTTATTATAAAAAAAATATTATAAATAATATAGAATATTTAAAGCGACCTATGGGGTATACGCTTTTAAACTACCGAGATATATAAATTATCGTAATTTATATTTAAATATTAATACTGCTTATTTATTACGCTTTAAAATTATTTAAAACTAAGTATTACGGGTTTTTAAGAGAGAAAAAGGTAAACTTTGTTATTATAAAAATACGCTATATAAATTAACTTAAACTAAGGTATTAAAATAATAAAAATATATATTAAAAATCGATACCTTTTTTAAAGTTATTATAACGCCTTTAGTAGTAGCGGATCTTTATAACCCCGGCACCGAGGCTAAAGAGATAATATTTAAAACGATTAATAAGATTATATTTAAAAGCGGTACTATGCTACTGTTTAACCCGATTATTATTATTAAAACCTCTATTTTAAATATAGACGACGACCCTATGCTTAAGGCCGTAAAACTAAAAAGATAAAGCTAACGCCGTATTATAACTTATAAATAAAAAGCTTAATATACTATAATTTAATTATTAAAAGAAACTAATAGTATATAATTTAGCTTTATAAACGGGCTTTAAAACTAAAGTAAATATTATTTTAATTTAAGAACCTTAGTATATTATTAATAAAAAATATAACGTTATAAAGACATATTTATATTATTACTTATATTTATTAATTTAAGATTAAGATAATAAACGGTTAAGGCCATACGTTTTTATATATATATAAAAAAGCCTTAACTTATTTAAAGTATTTATTATTATATATAAACTTTATTACGATATCGTAAAGTTATAAATTAATAATTATAATATATTTAATATTTATAGAATCCTACGTAGGAAAAATATTTTTTATACCCTACTTTATTAAAACCCCTTTTTAAAAATACTAATTACGGGCGACTTTAATATATACTACTTATTATAAAAGCTAAGCTATACGAATAATATTAAAACTAAAGACCTTACGAACTAAATAATAGAAACTAAACTTACGCTCCTTAACGAGCTAAATATCTTAACCTATTTATAAAATAATATAATAAACTTAGCTTTTTTTAATATCCCATTAATAAAGGCCGAGGTCGCTAATTAACTATATATAAACTTAAATTACTTACTTATTACTATTTCTATTTTAAACCCGGGCCCTTTAAAAAAAGATATTATACCGAAATATTATCTCCTTATAAACGTACTACCGAATTTTATATAGGAAGTAAAATCTTATACGTAGACTCTTTTCGACGATTTTAATACTTATAAAAAGCTAAATAATATAGCGCGAGCTTTAGGATAGCTATTAAGCTATACTTTTTATATAATTAATAAAAAGCGTCGATTAAATAGTAAAAGGTCTAGTTAATAAAATAAAAAATACGTAAACGTATAATAAAACTACTTTTAAATATATAAACTCGATTTAAGTTTTAATATATCGAAAGTTATAATAAAAGCTTTTTACGCAACGGTTAAAAAAAGCAAAAGTAAATATTAAATAAAAAGAATATAGGGTATTAAAACGCCCTAGGACTTATACAATATTATAAGTTAGTGAACTTTAAAATCTTAATTTTAGTTTTTTTTTTTATAAAACGGTAAAAATATAATTATTAAGTTAATTAAAAAGGCGTAGCTTTTAAAACGGATATTATTAAAAATAACTTTTAAAAAAAATAACTTATTATTTTATATAAAAGCTATCCCTAAGCGCGTTATTTATTAAAATTATATTATTTATATAAACGAAGTATAAAAAATATTACTAAGTATAAGTAATATTACGTCGAAAATAAATAGAATTACTATTATTATATTTTAGGTTATTTAGCCGTATATTTAATAATATATCTATCGATTTTTCTAAGTTTATATATCCTCCGGCTATTACCCCCTCCTATTTTAAAAAGCGGAGGTATATATAATTCTTAAAATTAATAAAAACAATAATACGGCTAAGGGCTAGCGCCCTATCTCTTTATTACCTATGTTAACTAAAAGTTTTAAAAAGATTTATATAAAACGATTCGTATATAAAATAGTAATAAGCGGAGTCCTTTATTCTTAATTAATAAGGGTACTACTTAAGAGATTAGCTATGGATATCGTAATAATAATAACGTATAATATCGAAATAGTATTCGACTATAAAAAAGTAACTACCTTAATTATAATAGATATAAAAAGGGCCTTTAACGCGGTGCTTTATAATAGGTTATATTTTTAATTAGTTAAGTAAAGTTATCTTTTAAAAGTCGTTAATTAAGTTTAATACTTTATATAATAAAAATACGCTAAAGTCCGTTATAAAGGGCATATTATTACTACGGCCTTATTAAGGAGCTTATTACTATAAAGCTTACTAGCCTTACTTATTTTATTTTTATATTATATTAATAAAGCGTTTAAAATTAACTTTAAGAAATATAAATTCGGCTATATAAATAATTATAATATTTTTTATATTAGCCCCGATTTCGAAACGATTATAATAACTATGTAAATAATAATAAATAAAATACTTATTTAAGATAAGGAAAATACCTTAAGCTTTTTTTTTAATAAAACCGAATTAATATATTTTATATAAGGATTACTTTTAAAAAACCTCCCCTCGATTTAATATAATAATACTAAGTTTATAACAAAGCTTATAATAAAGTAGTTAAGAATATATTTAGATTACTAATTTAATTTTAAAATATATATTTAAAAAAAGGTAACTATCGCCCGGAGCACCGTAGGCTATATATATAATCTTAATAAAATTTATATAGGTACCCCCCTTTTAATAATATAAAAAGCATTTTATATAATAATACTCCCCTAGGCCTTATTCGGCTCTAAGGTTTAGTACTTAAGTCCGATTTAATACGTAACTAAACATCGCATAATTAATAAAAGCTTTTTATAAATATAATATAATTTTTAAAAATAAATTATAAAAATTTAAATTACTATTAATATAAATATTCGTAGCGCTCTCTCTATTTAAAAAACGATTATTTTATCGGTATTTTATAAAAAGTTTAATATACTACTAGTTATAATATTTTTAAAAATAGCTCGATAAAGATATTTTTTACGACTTAGTTCTTTAGATATAGCTTATTTATTTATAAATTATATACGGTTTTATAAACTTAAATATAATAAAAATAATTTAGCCCGACCTACGATCTTAATTAACTTAGCGGCGTTTATTTAAAAAAATTTTTAATTTAATATTTTATTTTAAAAGTCATAGTAAAATAGATATTATTATACGCTTTTATATAGTAAAAATAAAATAATATATTAATACTTCTTTTTAAAATTTTCCTTTAAATTTCCTAACGAAATCTCTTAAATATATTATAAAAGTTTTAAAAAAAACTTTTAAAAAATTTTAAAGATTTCCTTATAATTTCCTTTAAAGAAAATAAAAAAAATTTTAAAAATTTTTTTACGATTTTTTTTAAAAAAATCTTAAAAAAATCTTAAAAAAATCTTAAGCTTTTTTAAACGCTTTTTTTAAAAAAAATCTTTAAGAAATTTTAAAAACTTCGCGGCCCTCTCTTCCTAAAATAATTATATATAAAAAATAAAAAATCTAATTATAAACTATAATAATT